TTTGGAAAGCCCCTAATGATGGCCAGTGGAACCAACTACTTTTGGTCCCACCCTTCTGACCTCTGGGGAGTGGGGAAGGCTTGGAAGCTGAGCTAATCACTAATGGCCAATCCTTTTAATCAATCATGTCTTTGTAGTGAAGCTTCCATAAAACAAACAAACAAACAAAAAACCCACCTAACTGAAGGGATTCAGAGGGCTTCCGGGTGGCGAGCACATGGAGGGGCTGGGAGTCTGGTGCCCCTGGAGAGGCACGGAAGCTCTGTGTGCACCCCCATCCCCGGTCCCGTGCATCTCCTCCCTCTGGTGTTCCTGAGGGGTACCCCCTGTAATGAACAGGTCATCTAGTAAGTAAACTGTGTCCCAGAGTTCTGTGAGCTGCTCTAGCACATCCCTGAACCAGAGGGGGTGGTGGGAACCCCTGATTTATAGCTGCATGGTCAAAGCACATGGGACAGCCTGGACTTGGGACTGGCATCTGAAGTGGGGGTGGGGAGCCAATCTTATGGGACTGAGGGTCTGCACTAACTCCACATAGATAGTGTCAAAATTAAATCAAACTGCAGGTCACCGATGTGGTATCCACAGAGAACTGGGAGAACAGCCTGGTGTAGGAAAACCCCACACACATTTGGTGGCTAAAAGTGAAGTACTGAGAATACAGAAAAAGAGAAGTTTTTCACCACTAATTTCTAAAGCAATAAAAGCAATAACAGAACAATGTGCTAAGATATATGTAAAAAGCTGTTTGTTAGCACTTATAGCCATTCAATATGATATACCAGCTACACGGCATGACAGGACAGCTGTAGCCACTCAATACTAGAGCATGTCCTGGGTTCTTAGAGGCCACTGTTGGTCAGCGGTCTATCTTATGGTAAGTAAGAGCTTTCCAAGAGAGAAGGCATTAAAACATTCACATGGGATTTTTAATAACTGATAAAACTTTCTTCCTCAGATTCATATTTAAATCTCTACCTCCTCACATTCAGACACTAAAGATCTTTCTGCTCACATTGATCCTCAGAAATCATATACATCGGGTGCTGCTACCCTACTTTTCATAACCTATACTTGTGAACTTGACTTCTCCAGTATGTTTAGGAAGAACAGAATACCAAAATCACATTCAAGAATAACTGGGTTTTGTCTGAATTTCCTATTTGATCACATTTGAACTTGAAAACACTTTTACCTAATTGAATTACACAGAATAGGAAATTAAATAACTTCTCTTCAAAACGAGGTCCCAGCTCTACTCCTCCAAGAAATATGGATCAACCACCTAGTTTTGAAATTTTATAATCCATTTTTAGAGTTTCAGCAATTTCTATTGATTTTAATTACATTTTTTGCAGTGCAACAAGTAATCTGCACAGATAATACTTTTGCTTCAGTAGTATATGCAATAATGAATTTTACCTATTATTCAAAAGCCAAAAGTTTTTGTGTTCGTTCATCTTTCAACTAGATCCCGGAAGTCACGTTTTTCAAACTAAAGTTGACCATTCATTAGTATTAGTGTGGTTTGTGTCTAGTATTCTAAAAAAGAGAACAGAAAATGCCGGCACGCGTCACATACAGTAAAAGTAGGTACTACTTTGTTAAGTATTTGTTTACATGTATAGAAGTGTGTGTGTGTGTGTGTGTGTGTGTTACAGTGTAAACAGTATTTTTTCCTGTGGTCAGAGAGCTGGAAAACCACTGCTGTTAAAGGCTTCTGTCTGTCTAAGTCACCAGATGCCAATGCCATTTACTCTTCTGAGAGTTCTGCATTAAGCTGCCCAGACCACAAGTAGGCATGGCTCAGTCCTTTTATGGAAAAGATTAGAAGAATCAAATACATCTAAGTAACTCAAACGATTAGACGACACACATGATTTCAATTGCTGATGCTACATTTTAGCTGCAAATGGTTCAAAGAAATTCATCTACCAATAACTCCACAACAAAAAGAGAGAGAAAACATTCACTTGTTCCTCAGTCCAACATCTCACCAGAACCATTACTGCCCTTTATAAAACTGACATGGAAGTTACCTACATACACCCTAAAGTTTTAGCCACGATGGCATTTAAGATTTAAAACCAAAACAAAAACACATTTGAATGCTTATAAACCAAAACATGAAATCACTTTTTGTAACATTTTAATTTCTAAGACATTTAAAAAGTCACACTAAAAGGATCTCATAGAAACAAACAAGCCCAAAAGATAATTTGTAAACAAAACACTGTAAACAAAAGTAATATACCAGTGCATCTAAACATTATTTTAAAAGTAACATACCAGTTTTTTTTAAAGTCAGTACTGAATATATGCTCATATTTTTAAAAAATTATTTTAAGAACTCTGCCTTTATACATTAAATACTGTGCTAACAACAAAGGAAACTACATAGGGTTTTCAAATGATGTAAGCCTATGCTGTAGCAGGTTAAGTGGTTATGGAGGCACAGAGAGGTCTACTGTGCTCCAGCAAAGCAAGGCCGATGTCGATGCCCCTAAGAACAGGTGTACACAGTACACACCTTGAATACATCCAAGAGTCAAACCATGCAGAAGATTTCATGCTTATCCACTAATCAATCTCTCAGTGTGGCACTGAAGGAGCTAACCTGTATGTGCACGAGTGTGCGTGTGTGTGAGATTCTCACATAGTCTCCTCTTTTAGAGCAGGTCTATTTTTATATAGAATATATATAAAGCTAAGTAAATACTGAATCTAAGAAATATCTTGGAAAAGTCGGTAAAAATTACCAATGTTATAACCTATAAAATTTATAATTTTAAAATAAGTATTGCAGAACCAATTAAGAATTGGCTAAGTCTCCTCAAGAAACTTTTTTACTACAGTGTCTAATGCCCCTTTAAAGTTGAGCCAAAGGTGAGAAACAGTCAACAGAACGTCTGACTTCACACAGTCACCTAGACCCCCCACCCAAAGAGAACAAAATGGCCATCCCCGGGGCCGCTCTGACCGCGGGCACGGGCGCCCTGGCATCAGGCCATCTGCGTCCTCCCGTGCCAGCACAATAACTGCAACACATCAAAGACCTGAGGGGCGTCTGTCCTTACCAGAGTTCAAGTGCTTGGCCTCAGTGTGCTGCCACCAATTTCTGTCACGGCCTCATGCAGCCAGCCTCCAGTGTGTGTCCAATAGAAGCACCTGCATTTGCTAAGTCCCTCACTCAAGAGGAAGACTCTTGTGTACGTAACCAGGAATATACTCTTTATAGAACCCCAGAAGTGGCTGTAATCATGCAGCAGAGTATATAACCGCCTGCATCTGTTCCCATAAAAGGCATCTGAGACCCAAGGTTCAAAACTGTCTCTCCATGTGAGGCGTATCCTCTGTCTCAAAGGCAATGAAGATGCACCCAGTAACAGCTGTAGGAATTTATAATACATTTCACTGCTTACTAATCAAACCTGGCCTAAGTTTTCCGATGGAAAGAAACTTTCAAATGAACAAAGAATTGATACAGACATTGAAAAGTTTAATATTTTACTCAGAAATTTTCAGACATCTTACAAATACCCAAGAACTTCCTACGGATGTGCCCAGAAACCAGTGTTAAGTTACAAGCGATGCTCTTTTATTTAAAGAACTTTCTTTTTCTTCTCCCCTTGACCTAGTCTGCTCAAAATATGGATTGCCTGCAAGGAAGTTTCAGTAAAAATCAAAGCTTGCAATTAATGTTTAAATAGGTGTAATTACCAGTGAAATTAGGAAACAACCAACTTCTATTAATTTTCTCAGTATGCAGATCCTATGCAGAGAGATTCACCAATACTAGACTGGTGGTATTTACGGAGTGTTGTTTAGAATCACAAAATGTTCTTTTATCTTAAAACTGGGCTGTATTTTAATGAGAAGAGAAGCTCAGAAGGAAATGCAGAGGTATAAATAAAGGAGAGGTATACTCAATGGAACTTAGGAATACACAGATAAACTTTTCTTATTATTTTGGCTCTAAGTGGAAATCTTTTATGTCAAATATATACAGCCTGATTTTCATAAATTTCTCCCAAAAAAACCCCTTTAAACTCAACAATTTGAGAAAAATGTTCTTTTACGTTTGTCTGAACACAGACAATCTGTTGCCGTACACATAGTGCATGTGAACATACGTATTTATAGAGACTGCACAACTCCAAAGTGTGTGCAAAGGGGCTCATCTCTTATTTCCGCATGCACAATTTTCAGTACTCTATCCTAGTGGATGGTAACACAGAGTACAATTTTATAGCTTTTATTCAATGGACTTAAAGTCAAGAAGCCATCCCCAGAATTATTTACAATTTCATAACTGAATGATTTATCAGATCATGAAACACTGAGAAACTATTCTTACCTCATGAATGCTGACTCTGTGTATCTGGGTGTTAAACTAGTACTTTTATAAATCCGAGGTTTAAACCAGCATATACAAAAGTAACCAAGGCCTGAAGAATGTGTTGACAGAAGGAGTTTCCACCACAGAGCACTGGTAATTCCATAACAGACACAGGAGCACGAGGAACTGAGGGATTTTTGAAAAAAAGCTTAAAAAAAATCAAGTGTACAGATAGCCTATAAGGCAAAATCTAAGTTACAAGTGTATTCGACACTGGCAACTATGTTATGAGAGGTAATGCTGAATTCTACACACATAAGAGGTCAGAGAACTATGATTACATGAGACTTCCTACTTGGCTTACTATACTGTACAGTGGAAGGTATTCCCATGGTGTTCTACCATGGATCAGGTTTTCAAAAGAATTTCATATTTTTCTCTTGACTCAAAGTCCAATCAGTATCATTCTGAAATATAAACCAGAACTACGCTTTTGTCTTTTTCTTCAAGGAAGTGAAAAATAGCCTTTGCACACCACCGTTCCAACGCACCCACTGCAGTAATGGCATCTATAAAACCCGCACTTTTGCAGGGCCTTCACTTCGCATCCAAGTACCAAGGATGCCTTTCATGTCAGGTTCTCCATTTTGAATAAAATATATATTGGGATTTAACTGAATTCTTAGAAAGCCCCGAAGTTGCCTTTTCTAACATTCTCATATGGGTGACTGTATCAAGTGCTGCAAGCAAATGTGTCCACAGAAAAATGTGCTGCCCTACGAAGCCTGCGTTTGGCTGGAAACTGTGGGGTCCATCACACAGTTAAAAGAGAAGAAGGCCTGCAGCAGCCAAGTTCTTAGGAGGTTATGAAAGAAATGGCGCTGCCAGGCCCAGGCCCTAAATGTGAAGCCCAGTCAGTGCGCGTCATTTCTGACTGACGGGGACGGTGGGAGTTGGGGCTCCCGGGTCTCTTGATGGCAGAGTGCTGCTGCATATCTCACAGTGCTTTGTGATGCCCGTTTGCTGACGGCTTTGATGTTTCTGAATCCCTTGAAGTATTTGATAAGTGAAGCTTATGAAGCCCTGCAGAAAAATTAAGAAAACGGTGAGAAATGATGGACTGTTGCGTGGGTGGGCAGAGGGCTAAGGAGGCGGAGTGTCAAGTGTTACTGCGAAAGCTGTGATGTGCTGGCCAGACCCCCGTTAGCATGAAAAATCTCTTATTCCCCACTGCAGGCTCCCTGGGGGCCTAAGCAGAAGACAGTTGTCTCTTAGGAAGCCATGCCTCCTCCTCAACTCCATGCAGCTCTGGGGCCCGTGGAAGCTTCTGGTTTCTTCTCTCTGCACAGTTAGTCCCTTCCCCACCTCCTGCCCTCCATACCAATCCCAAGAGCACCCTCTCATCCACCGCCTCCTGCAAGCTTGTCCCAGCCCCAAAGTGTGCTTCCCAGCAGGGGAACTAACCTGAGACAAGTATGATCCCATTTTTTGTATACACACATGCAAGTATACATACAGGAAGACATCCAGAAAGACACACCAAAATATTAAGCACATAATTAAGAGGAAAAGCAATGGAAAACATGACCAAATAGAAAAGGAGAAGAAATGGCAAAAGAATAAACTGAACATAAATATTTCATTATTCAAAGATACTTCACAGAATAAAACATTTTCACTATCTTTTACAGTTATGTTAGTTTCCCTCTGTATCATACATCAGTCATTTACATAATGTACCTGATATATACAACAGTCCTGTGCAACTCACAGGGGTAACAGGTAAAAGAAAACCTAAGACTTTACATGGCACCAAAGCTCTCAGCACTTAGTAATAAGGTGAAGCACAAAGATGTTCAAGAATACATAACCAGCACATCTATGGAGAAGATTTTGAGGAAACATTTTTATGAGGCTCAGACCTTTGTGACACATCAAAAACATACCTGGATAAGATTCTATTCCCCTAAGATTCCATTAGTTTATCTACCTGGCAGTTAAGCAATTTTTTAACGCTCTTAAGTCAACATAGCACTCTGGATTTTAAAGTTTCTACCACCTGCATATCTTAATGAAAGAAAAGGTAAAATTGAGCCCGTCTATGATGGATGAATGGGAAGGAAAAAAGAAATCCAACACAAGCAGCAGTTCTGGCCAAACCACTGAGTGACAATAGGAACCCACAGCTGTTGGGTGTGGGGAAGCGTGTTTTAAACAGGGCCTGCTAGTGAAGGAAGTAGGTGGAGAGAGAACCAGCAGAGTAATCAATGCCCAAAGTGAAAAGGAATCCCCTTTGAGGATAGATTATTTCCATTATTACTTCTAAAACTTGGGTGCAGCACAGGCTACGCATCTTTAAAAAAAAAAACAAAAAAAACTACAATGTCTCTCTCTGCAGAAACAATCACCTCCACCACCATCTGATTTTTATCTACTATGTACCAGATACTCTATGAGACAAATACTGTCATTATCAATGGACATAGCAGCAGAGGAAAAAAGACTACAAAACAAAGGGGGGGGGAGGAGATGGTTAAATTTTATAATCAAATTATGATTCCCCATGGAATCAGATTTAAGATCTCGGATCATTCACACATTATTACATATACTTAATGAGGATCTTTTTCTACATATAATACATTTCTTCCTTAAAGCATTCCAAAGAGTAACAGAAAACATTTGGACACTACTGCGTGTTATGGTCAAAGAGCCGACACAACATACATGACTTCACCTTAAGTTAGAAAGATGATATCCAGAATACTTAACACAAAACTAAATTTACTGCAGTACATTTACAACCCTCTCATGTTAGTGACTGGTAAGTGGGAACTGATCTGACATTATGGCTAACTAATCTCACTGATGCTACCATGGGCTTAAAAATGAAGTTCTAACTTTAGACATCTGGCTCAGAGAGCTGCTGATTCCCACCTCACCTTGCAGATTTTAACCTGGCCAGCATTCTGAAACCTAGGCATGAAAATCCATAAATTATCTGGTGCTTCAGCTGAAATGAGATGTCACTTTCATTTCCAGGCACTATTGCACCAGCCATCCCCTCACAGGGTGAATTTAATAAAATATGGATGAATGGATAATTTGAAATCTTTTTTCCTTCCCAAAGGTCATCCCTTCAATCACAGGTGTTAAAGAACTTGGTGGGGTGCAAAGTTTTCTTGTTGCTCAGAAGGTTGAAGTTATCTGGACCTTATGAATCAATCACTACGTAGCCTTTCGCAACAGCTAAAAGTCACAATGGAATACAGAGTATAAGCATTCAAATGATGTCAAGTTAGGTAAATGACCTAATGTTAGGATTTTCTACAATAAATCACTGCCAAATTTAAAATTACTCCAAACCCAAGAGGGTTTATATAGCAAGATAGTTTATAAATCCCTGGTATTCCTACAATATAAAATAAAACTTATAAAAATATAAAATAAAAACATATAACATGTTTAGTGCTAATGATGAAGTGGGCATGAAAAACTCATTCATAAGTTACATTTATATGCTTTTTTTTTTTTACCTTAGCCAAACCTAAAGTTTTTAAGACTGTCACAATGCATGTGACTTTTGGAATACATGATAATGAATGCCCTCTCTCCTACTAATGACAAGAATACTAATATTTTTATCCTGAGTTATTTGGCTTACTGAAGAGAATTATGGATCAGTCTGATACTTGTAAAATCCAAGTAATCAAAAGAAATCTGTAACTAAAAAACTGTAAGAGGTACCATTACCAAAAAATAGTAAGTCTCTAGCCATTAGCCCCACCTTGCCTTGACCACCATCATCATAACAACAAAAGAGCTAATTTTATTGAGCGCTTATGATGTGCCAGGACTCTGCTCAGGCCCTTACAAGAAATATTCCAGTTAATATTCACAACAGTCCTTGAGAGAAGAAGATACTGTCACCATTTTACAGATAAGGAAGCTGAGGCTTAACGAGGTAATTTCACACACGAGCATAACCAGTAAGTAGTGGGTCAGAAATGGGACCTCTATGGTTTCACACAGTAGGAAAAATGAACAGATGAAGATTTAAAATTAATTCAAATAACAAAATTGAAAATTAGCAGAAAGACAGAAAAATACCCATAAACCTCAGGATTACCTAGGGCCTTGAAAAGTTCTTCTCGTACAGCAGAGGTGAATTTTCTGACCAGACACAATGTTGTCACAATAGCAAAAAGCAAATTGTAGGATAATACAATATAGAAATTTCCCAGCCAATTAAACCTTCCAAAGTCTCCAAGTAGATCAAATCTAGTGATTCCTGTTAAAAATAAATAAAATAACCCTTAATAAAATCAGGTACAATATATTTAAACACGTTACAAAACAAAGTACAAGTCAGATCAAATTCCATGGACTTTCTCATTTGTTAGTGGGGATCCTAGTTAGAATATGTAATTGTTACCTTGTGGAACAGCATCAGCCAGCCCTAACCTACTTTCTCCACATGTCACAGTGTCTTGGAAGTGATGAGGCTGGAGTGAATGTCCCTTGTCACTCACTCCACTTACACTGACAAGAAATCCACTCTGCAGCTCATGGAGAGAACAGGCACAGTGTGCTCAACTGAAACAGGACGGAGAAAACACCTGACAGCCCTTTAAAGCGCCCACCTCCCCGCTGCTTTGTCCCTCTCCCCATGCAGGTCCCAGGTCAAACATCTCCTTGGAGAGGGCAACTGTTTCCTCTACAGAAAACAGCTGCACCCTCCATGGCCATCTATCTTAATTACATTTCTTTGTAACATGTGCTACTTCATATATTTCTTTTCCTTTCTGGTTTATTTATTGCCTACTTTCCCCACCAGTATGTAAGTTCTATGAGAAAAGGGACTTTGTTTTTTTCACTCCTACAATCCTAATGCCCAGAGCAATGCTTGTACATACATAATAGTTACTACATAAACAGATAAACAACTAGGGTGATTCCTTTCTGGGTTGGCAGGTGGGGGGAGGTGGGAATAAAAACATTATTAATTTGAGTTGGACACCACAGGCTTGTGAAGTAAAATGGCAAACCTAGAAAGGCAGTTATCTCATATATACATTGAAGTTACCTAAATTTCCTATACACATTTTAAAAAACAAGTCTTTTTATTCAAAAGAATAATCCAAAAGTCATCCTATTCAGTAATAATGTGCCCTAGGCCAAATACTTACTGGAAAGAATATGTGAATGTTAGGATTTTTCTGACCACTGGTAAATAAATAAGTAAACAGCATTCAGGTAGTCAACTGACAGATGACAGGACTGTTGACAATCTTCAAGGAAGAAACTGAAGAGTTACTTGGGGCCATATAAAATTTTAATCATAAAGGACTGTATAAACAAAATCCTGTACACCTTTATTTTTTGAGTGGTCTAAGGATTTCAAGAGTAACCAAACTTCATTTCACTCTATCAGCTGACTTTTGAACTTAGCTCTCATCCCCACCCAAAGCAATCCCATCACCTGTTATAGGGACAGATGCCACAAAAGCAGTGCATAGACAACAGAAAAACCTTCATACCCAAAAGTATCACAAAAATAGGTTTCAAGACGTAGTTCTTTTTTTTTAATATTTTATTTGTCAAAGAGAGAGAGAGCATAAGCAGGGGGAGTGGCAGGCAGAGGGAGAAGCAGGCCCCCCGCTGAGCAAGAAGCCCAATGCCGTACTGGATCCCAGGACCCTGGGATCATGACATGAGCCAAAGGCAGACACTTAACCAATTGAGTCCCCTAGGCGTCCTAAGAAGTAGTTCTTTTATGGCCACATTTACACAGGGCCAGTGTATTTGAACTTGAGAGACAATAATCTACCATAATATTTTAAAGAAAAGATTAATGAAAACACACAATAAAATATCTTTTTACAGAAGGTAAAGGGACCCAGACACCAGGAGAATATGCCACAAAGACCACACATCATTAGTCATGGCAATAATCATGGCTGCAGCTTCTCAGAAAAAAGCCTTAATAAAATTTGACTTTGTCTGGGGCGCCTGGGTGGCTCAGTTGGTTAAGCACCTGCCTTTGGCTCGGGTCATGATCTCAGGGTCCTGGGATCGAGTCCCGCATCGGGCTCTCTGCTCAGTGGGGAGTCTGCCTCTCCCTCTCCCTCTGCCCGCCCCCACCTCGTGCTCTCTTGTGCTCTCTCTCAAATAAAATCTTTAAAAAAAATCAACAAAAAAACTTTGTCAAAAGGAATACAGATCTCATTATACATTTTATTCTTCAAAGTACCATTTAATTTAACCTAGGAAGTTATCTGTAGACAGGATACAACCCTTCCAAAACAAATTTCAGTGATTTCAGCCCAAGGATCCCAGATAAGTATGTTCATTTGACCTTTAGGACCAAAGACTCCTTTGAGAATCTGGTGAGAGCCACAGATCTTTTCACAAGATAAACAAAGAGATGCGCACACATACAAAATCTTGCATATGATGAAGCTGATTTATGGAAAAACTGACAGATCACAAAATAAAAACCCTTGTCCAGATGCTCGAGGAAAGTCTTACCTGGTCTCAAGACATTTTTAATCATACACCCCCATTAGCAAAAACAAAATTAGAACACATATACCCAATATATGTGTATTTAATTATTTTAAAACTATATATGTACTACTCACTGGCTTTTACATTATATACAAAGGACAGACTTTAAAAATAATAATAATGATAAATAGGAATTCTCACGGTTTCTTTGCACAGCCCAGTGACCTACTCTGTGAATGCTGGGGGGACAAACCACTTTGAACAGCACTGAACATGCTAACTAGTAACTCAGCCGCCACCCTGAACCTGGCCTATGTACCACACTGGGACAGCAGTGCCACACACTGAGCACAGCGAGGAGCAGAGTGCACTTAGCACAGGGATAATGGAAGGTATGTTATGAACAATGGGAAGTGCTTTCACTAGGACTTCCTGGTGGATTCAACTTGGTATCCTGAGAGTCAGGGCCAAGACTTCGTATGAAACCCCAGACAGAGAGCAGTCTCCTCATTATATGTTTGGTCCCCAGGACAACTCAGGTTGACCTCATAGACAGAAATCCAGGAGCCTGTTGCTACAATGCACCAAAGCACTAGACAAAGTATTAGATTAGTTCTAAAGATGCTGTTGTTTCAAATTTAATTTAAATATCTAACATTGTCTGATTAAAAGATCACTCTGGACAACACATGCAGTTCTTCAATTCTGAAAATCTTCTTTAAGACTAAACAGCAAGAAACTTTAAACAATCACTTTCTTAAACTTCTGAGAGGCTGATGTGACAGCAATAATTAAACTGTAAAATGTACTTTTTTGTTAAAAGCACCAACACTTAAGAAAAAGTAACAATACTTAAAATTTTAACTTAACACTTATTGTACAAATGTATAATACTTCAAAATCTCTATTTCTGGAGAAAGATATAAAAGGGTATTAGGGCAGCATATTTAAAAATACTACTAGCTAAAAAATTCAATTATCAAATGCTGTTATTTAACTCTCCTAGTCAAATAATGAAATGCTAACTCCCATTCTGAAGTCATTTCTTTAAAAGATAAGTAAAACATACGCCAGGTAAAAAGCCTAGTTAGTTAAGCAGTGGCTAACCAGAGGCCATATTATGTGGATTATCTGTTGAATAAATGCACTATGATGCAGTTTAAAATGTTTCATGCATAATTCCTTGAATAAAGATCTTTTTCTAGTCATACTTATACAAGAACCAAGGCACAAAACCTCATTTCAGGAAAGAGCTGGTTACTCTACCTACAATGAGAATCACGAGAATTTACCTTCGCTAGCCCACCTGAGTTGACTCTAGATTTCTAGCAAGCATACTCCTGTTCCTTACTAGCAAGAAGAAACTGAGAGAGGGTTTATAAAGCTTGACACACTGAAGGGATCATTAAAGTAACTTTATCAATAAACCATATGTGCTGGCATCTCCCACAATTGGCTGACATGATATCCACGGCTTTAATATAAGACTGCCAAGAAGAAGACACATATCTTGTCACAAAAAATAAATTTATAAGCTAAATGTTCTCTGAAAAAACACCAAGATTGGGGTGCCTGGGTGGCTCAGTCAGTTAAGCATCCAACTCTTGATTTCGCCTCAAGTCATGATTTTACTCAGGGTCAGTGTTTAAAGCAAAAATGGAAACAATGTATTATATGGTTTATAACGTGTATGAATAAAATGTATGATAACAAGAGCAGGAAGACTGGCAGGCGAGAAATGGAAGTACACTGTCAGTACACTATACTAAGTGCTATGATGCTACACAAAGGGGGACTGTGATAAGTTAAAAATCTATGCTATAAACCAGAAATAAACTATCCAAAAAATACCACAAACAGTTATAGCAAATAGGCCAACAAAGGAGGTAAAGTGGAATCATTTTTTTAATGCAGCTCATCCAGAAAAATGAAGATAAAGAGGAAAAAGGGAACAAATAAGAGATGGGAAGAAAGAGATAATAAAGAGCAAGATTATAGTCAAACATAATAATATCAGTAATCACATTCAGAGTAAATGGTCTAAACATCCAAACTCAAAAATAAAGATTAATACATTGGATAAAAAAGCAAGACCCAACTCTACATTATCTGTAAGAAATGAACTATTTAAATATAAAGACACAAACAGGTTGAAAGCATAAGAATGGGAAAAAGTATACTATGTAACCATAATCAAAAAATACCTGACACAGCTATATGAATGTCCTGCAAAGCAGATTTTACAGCAAAGAATATTACCAAGGATAAAGAATGTCATCATCATTTTCATGATTATAAAGGGGTCAATTCATCAAGAGAACATAATAGCCCTAAATATTTATGCATCTAATACCAGAACTTCAAAATACATGAAGCAAAAACAGAAACGTAAGAAGAAATAAACAAATCCACAATTTTAGTAGATTTCAAAACCCTTCTCTCAATAAAACAGTTAGAAAATCAGTAAGGATACAAAGAACTTGAGTAACATTATCAACTAAATTGACCTGACATTCACAGAACATTCTACCCACGAATACAATACACCTGTTCAAGCACAAAGATACATGAGGATAGACCATGTTCTGGGCCATAAAGCAAGTCTCAGTAAGTTCGAAATGATTCAAGTCATAAAATGTATTTCCTCACCTCAATGGAATTAAATGAGAAATCACTAACAAATCTCTCTGGAAAATCCTCAAATATTTAGAAACTAAATAACAGCCTTCTAAATAATCCATGGTCAAAGACGAGATAAAAAAGGAAGTCGGAAGGATATTG